TGGATATAGGGTGTCAATAATCAGATAAACACTGGCTAAATTATTCAGACTAGTACAATGTGGATAGACTATGTCAATGATCAAATAAACAGTATCTATATTTTTCAGACTAGTACAATGTGGATAGACTATGTCAATGATCAAATAAACAGTATCTATATTATTCAGACTAAATGTGAATAGACTATGTCAATGATCAAATAACAGTATCTATATTATTCAGACTAGTACAATGTGAATACACTCTCAAAAATCAGTTAAAGTGTATCTATTATTCAAACTAGTACAATGTGGATAGACTATGTCAATGATCAAATAAACAGTATCTATATTATCCAGACTAGTACAATGTGGATAGACTATGTCAATGATCAAATAAACAGTGTCTATATTATTCAGACTAGTACAATGTGAATAGACTATGACAATGATAAAATAAACAGTGTCTATATTATTCAGACTAGTACAATGTGAATAGACCATGTCAATGATCAAATAAACAGTGTCTATATTATTCAGACTAGTACAATGTGACTAGACTATGTCAATGATCAAATAAACAGTGTCTATATTATTCAGACTAGTACAATGTGACTAGACTATGTCAATGATCAAATAAACAGTGTCTATATTATTCAGACTAGTACAATGTGACTAGACTATGTCAATGATCAAATAAACAGTGTCTATATTATTCAGACTAGTACAATGTGACTAGACTATGTCAATGATCAAATAAACAGTGTCTATATTACTCAGACTAGTACAATGTGACTAGACTATGTTAATGATCAAATAAACAGTGTCTATATTACTCAGACTAGTACAATGTGACTAGACTATGTCAATGATCAAATAAACAGTGTCTATATTATTCAGACTAGTACAATGTGACTAGACTATGTCAATGATCAAATAAACAGTGTCTATATTACTCAGACTAGTACAATGTGACTAGACTATGTCAATGGTCAAATAAACAGTGTCTATATTACTCAGACTAGTACAATGTGATTACACTCTCAATAATCAGATAAAAAGTGGCTATATTACTAATTCTATACTTGTCATGGTTCAAACTTGTCAAGTGAACAACAATGTCTCAATATAATTTTGTTTAAATTGATCTTCCTGTTTCTAAGAGAACCACAAAATTCTGACAGAGAACCTCCTGGTTTCATTCAATAAAAAGGTTTTGTATGGCATATATACTTTCATCACATAATCAGTACACTTTGCCTATAGTGTGTGCAGTTTAATATTTTGGATATTATACATGTGAACATATCACTTTATATGATTCTAATTGGTCCAAATAAGCCCATACAATTATTGAGCAGTATTCTCTTTACCGATTGGCTGCAATCATGGGAAATCTTTGTTAACCCCACCTTCTGAAATTTTTTGCTTTCACTGAAAATTTTTGGCTGCCATTTCTTAAAAATGACTCACAAAATGGAATTGGGAAAAAATGTCTCATTTGTTTCATTATTGCCAATTTATCCTCACAGGGGTTTGTTATATCCTCACAGGGGTTTGTTATATCCTCACAGGGGTTTGTTATATCCTCACAGGGGTTTGTTATATCCTCACAAGGGTTTGTTATATCCTCACAGGGGTTTGTTATGTCATGTGAAACATATAACATGAAAAATGCAAAAAAAGACCAAGACAAAAACAATAACAACAAGTAAAACTACCAGTATTGCTTAGATGATAATGAGGGTGGGGGTGAATATGCATGGGCAGTATATCTGTAGCATGGAATCCACCCTATACCAAAGTTTGGTTTAAATGTTAACTTTCTGAATGCACTGGACATATTGTGTTGACAGATATTTTGTCTTTTGTAAAATGTTCTGTTCATTCGGATGGATACTTATACTTTGATTTATATTTATAAAAAATGTGTAATATACTTTTACTATTTAAACTTTTTTTAGGACTGTTTTATGCACAACAAATGAACAGTACAGCATCTGTCAGAATGAACAAAATTACTCATTTTTCTTTCTAAATAATTTCTATTGAAATAAATCTATGAGATAAAAAGAATCTCAAATGGGTAATGATTTCATATTAAATTTATGTTTAATAAAGGCTTGCAAAAGCTGGACATTATTTAACTCATTTCATAATTTCAATATTAAAATGTTACCCTATGTGATCCACCAGGTATCAATGGAAGGGTCTTACATTTTGTATACCATTCATCCAAGTGCACTTAACATACATACTTACTTATAGTACAAGTGCAAATTACAGACCCAGATCAGTTGGAATATAACATGCTGCTTATCCAGCTCTATGCAGTTTGTTAGCATTAATTAGTAAAACAGAAATGTTGATCTGCCACTGCATACTGCACCATCAGATCTGGGTTTATGTTGCCTGTATCTGAACTAGGCCTATAAATGAGTAAATACAGTAATCTGCTATATATTCATTTTCTCACTCTGTCAATCCCATGCCAGACATACCTGACATACCTATACACAGGCAGTACAGTAAGATGAATAGCTAATAAACCACTCAATTTTTAAAAAAAATAAATATCAGAATAAAATTCATAAAATATCAACTTGTTTGTTAGAGAAATAAAAGTTTATACTACAAATATGATAAAAGCTGATCCACTCATTTACAATACATGAACTTTTACAACTGGAGATAAAAAAAAATTTCAACATCATTATCTCAATCTAATATTTATCATTTCTATAAATGTCAACATATTAAAATAAAGGAAAGTCTCATAAAAGGCTCTTTACAAATTTTTTTTTAAAAAAAATATCATTTGTTTCATTTTCTAATTGTGCAGGCAAGTTCAAATATAGAGCAAGCCATGATTTTTAAATAACTTTTTACCTAAATGATTATGCTTCAAAATGTGTAGTAAGCATTAGGCAAATCTGGTCAAAATTCTGTGGCTGGGATCATTAAATTAAAAAGTCAATATCATATGACATTCTTTTTTTGTAAATAATAAATATTTAAGAGAGGATCTAAATAATAAAACATTTAAGATCCTTCCACTCCATTATACAACAATTATACTATGCATATTTAATCTTTGTTTTCGGCTAGATTTTTGCAATTCATTATATGCTATGGGTTAGTAAAATTATATTTTGTAGCTGACCTTGCCCAAAATAAAGCTCACTGTCTACATGACCAGTAACATTTTTTATTCTGTAAACAACTAAAATATATAAAATATTTTCTCCTTGTGGGTTCAATATTATGATTATTATTAATAGAAGTAAACATATTTATCTTGGTCTGGGTCAATAACATTGTGTTTACAATGTTTTTTTATTATAATTTTAGTAACAGAGTCTTCTGGAATGGAAGTTTCCATTAAGTAACAAGTAACAGTTTGATTTGTTTATTAGAAAATGATAATTGTGACCTAGGTCAAATAGAGTGCTTTATAAATTTGTTTACTGGTAAAATTATTTTTTATGCTGTATGATCTTGAAACAGAATCAGTCTTATTGCTATGTTCTGTATTTCATTTGGGCTGGAACTTATTTATTCAAATTATTTATTCACTGGAATACATAGTTCTCAACTATAATATTTTCTGACAGAGACATTAACTTAGAATTATAGTGAATTCAAACCAGTTCTTGGATTGTATTACTGTGATTCATCATAAGACTGTTTGCACATTATTACAATTCAGGCCATTTGTACATTAGAGACTGCAGACCACTACTGGCACATCAACACCTTTGGTATACTTTTGATATACCACTAAAGTTTATTCAGAATATTAGTCATTAGGACTTATGTTAGAAATTTTATGATTGTTTGGGATTTAATTTGCAATACCATATATAATTTTTACATTTTCACTTTGTATTCAAGGAAAATAAATTATTTGTTAACTTCTACAAAACTTGCTAGTTTTCACACCTTTCTATTGCATACTTTCAAAGCACAGAGTAGTAACAACACTAATATCTACTGTTTAATTCAAAATTGCAACGCATGCATCTGCCCACATACAGGCAAACTGTCAAGTAATTTGGTTTTGAATAAAAATCTTCATGTTAACTTATAAATAAAATGTTTGGTTTTTTTTCATCTTTGGTACATAACTGACTATGCCCAATAAAGGAATTGACCAAGAGTCATGCTTGCCATATGTACATGCTTGCATGTTGAGCCCAATAAAGGAATTTAACAAGAGTCAATGCTTGCCATAGGTTGCATGTTGAATCCACCTTTAAATTATATCAACCCAAAATCGAAAGCATTGCTAAGGCACTGACATATCTTGATCTATACAATATCTATCTTCGTGAGAGGCAAACAGTGGCAACCAACACTCAAAGAGGGGGGAAAAAGTCCAAGATGAGACCAAATGCAGTGTGGGTGGGGTCCATTTTATTGAGTATTAATGTCACTGCAAGTTAATAATAATTGAAATTCAAACAAATGAAATGCCTGGAAACTGGAAACCACAATTAGATTATATTTTTATCCTGGCTGGATAACAAGAATGGCATGGAGCTGAAATATCCCAATACACATCTCTATTTATGTACAGTAAATTTTGATTTTGCATCCAAATAAAACATTTCAATGATTTTGATATTTATTTTGTATGTTCATTTGAGTGGTCACTTTAACAGAAGTGTCTTGCAACATAATGTTCTTTTTAAGACATCTCTTAAATGATCTTTAATTTATCTTCTGAAATATGAGTTTTGTATTGCAACATATTGTTTAATGAATTTTGCAAAAAAAGAAGCATTAAGCATTCTTTGATTGCAGATATTGTTAATTCAACACATGGACTTTTAAAGACTTAGGAATTGTTCATTCCCTAATTACACAGAGTCACATGCAGTGCAATCCTGCACATGACATTTTTTTTTCCTCTTTTATGTGAGTCTTAATGGCACTTTTAACACATTACTGGCACATAAACAAAGAAAATGGAAGTTAAATGCCTTTCCCAATGGCACACTGAGGCAGCTAATTGAAGCTGGCCCAGATGGGTATTGAGCCCACAACCCTTGGATTATGAATCCAATGCTCTACCAATCGGGCTACTAAAGCTCCCTCCACATAAATGAGTATATTCTTGCCAGTTATTTCTGGGCACAGGTTAGCCAATTTTTCTCCAGCACTGGATGCTTCTGATTTTCCTACATATTCCTAGAGCAATTAGGAATCTATTTGTAAATATCAGAATTAGACTGACTTGAAGAAATGGCCATGATGTCAATATTGCTTACATGATTAAACAGTAATCCATATCTAACATGACAAAAACCATGTTGTACATACCCACTTATAAGTCTTTTTAAAATGTAACAGCAAGTACATTAGAAGATAACAGTATTTGTTTTTTTTCTTCTATTGATTACTCCTAGCAAACTATATAGACCCTGGCATGGCAGTATTTTATGCAATGGCTGAACTGATCTATACAGATAGACCTGACTTACTTATAAGTGAGTATATATGGTAATCCAGACTTTTTTTACTGTTTGATATTTTCAGTTTAGATCATTCTTTTTTGTTGGACATACTTTGGTAAGAAACTTTTGATGACGTTCAAGAGAATAGACTTTTTCTCCATAATATATCTATATGATTTTCTAAGTCATGTTTGAAATGCATAGATTTACTTAAAAGGTAGAATTTAATCATGTGGTCCAAATTTTTCAATATTGTGGGTGATGAAAAGACCTGTAGTGGAGGTAATTGTAACAACTAAAACAATGGTCAAAACTTCAAGATTGGCCAAGCCAATCTGTGTTTTTCATTAGGTCCATTCCTAAATTGGGAGAACAATTTACTATACTAGTTTTGTAGCTGTTGAACACTAGGCTAACACTATGATTATGAGAATTAACACATGTATTTGACCAGTCTGAACAGAAACAATGAAACCAGTCAAGATTTTCAAATGGATATGATGGAAAGTCTGCTGAAGAATGCCCATCTGTCTTTTACCAGTCAAATCTGTCTAATTTAAACAAGAGCCCCTCAGAAAGACACTCTGCTGGACAAAAAAAAATCCCAGGAATTTTAGATAAAAACAATTTTTTTCTTTCACAGCCTGAGCATTGAAGCTATCTATGATAGTAAGAACATGATTTTCATTACAAACATCATGGCAGTCATATTGGATATACGATTGACACCATTTTTATATGTAACTGACAAGACATCATAAGAAGTCTTTTGGTGAAAATACCATGTTTATACAATCATCAATTTCTTCGGAGAGATAATTATATTTTCAAGATATTATTAACAATAAGATTTTCAACATGGTTGCCATGGTGGCCATATTGGATATCATATGTGTGTTATTTCCTTTTTGGAACTATTAGATATCATGAGAAGACTTCTGGTGCAAGCACAATCTCAATATGACCTGTCATCTAAGAGCAGTAGCAATGATAAGATTTGCCACATAACCAATGTGGTGGCCACATTGGAGGTCAGATTGGCACCATTTCCATTTATGACTAGCTGGACATCATAGGAAGTCATTCAATGAAAACCTCATGCTAATAGGAGCATTCATTCAGGAGAATCAGTTGCAACAAGATTTTCAAGACATCTTTCAGTAAGATTCCCATGTTGCCAGGAACTGCCATGTTTTTAAAAGAGTAGCAATAACATTTTCAAGATTGCAGATTTGGTGGCCATCTAGTTAGTGGGATTCATAACACATTCATTCAAGTCCAACAAGACATATAATATAAAGAATACATCTGATGAAAACCCATGCCAATGACTTTCCATTAAACAGGTGGGGCAGTAACAAGATTTCAAGCACTATGGATACCATATTGGACATTAGATCAACTCCATTTCAATTTGGGACAAACAAGACATTATACGAAGTCTTCGGGTAAAAAACCCTTGTTGACAAAGTTTTGATGGAGTTCAAGTTTCCAGTTTGGAGTGGTAACAATGATAGGATTTTCATTATGGCTGTCATACTGGATACCAGATGTACACCATTTCCATTTAGGACCAACTAGTCATCATAAGTCTTCTGGTGGAACCACTACGTCACTACGACTATTTCTCCTGGAAAAGTAGTGATAAGATTTTCCTGACGGTGGCCATATTGGAGATCAGATGGACACCATTTTCATTTATGACTAACAAGATAACATAAAAAGTCTTAGTGAACCATTTTGCAGATATGATCATTCATACATAAGAAGTGGTGATAACAAGATTTTTAATATGGCCACTATGGTGGCCATACAAAGTCTTTTAGTAAAATCCCATGTTAATATCAACAGCCATTATTCTGGAGTAGCTATAACAAGATTCTCAAGATGGCAGCAGTGGCAGCCATATTGTATGTGTGACTGAGTTTTTCTTAGGGAAGAGTAGTTATAATAAGCTCTCAAGATGGCTGCTGTTTTGATTATATTTAATGTTCAAGTGGCGCCATTTTCATTTAGGACAAAGTTTCATGTCAATCCTATTAGTAGTTTAGTAATAGTAAAGATAACAAAGATGGATTCACGCCACTTGACTAGTAGCACTAATAATTTTTAGGGCTCCACATACAGATGCATTAAACCCACAGCAATTGCTTCTTTTTTTCCATTAGTCCATCCATTCACATTTCTTGTGACCATCAACTCATCAACTCTATTTTTGATGAAGTTATGGCCTTTCAATAAATCTTGAGTCCAGACATGGAATCTTGCTTGTAACCAGTACAGCCATGCAACCCTTGCACGTAACTGGTCTTTCTATGTCCATTTTTGATGGATTGTATTACATCTCCATTACAGCAGATCCTTAAAAAAAACATTGCTCAAGAACCATTCACTTTCTGTATATGATGGTCTTATAGCTTTAGATGTGCCTTTAAGGACTTGTGTTACTAATGTCATGGAAGAATCAGAACCAGTCTAGACATGGGTGAATATAAAAGACAGGATATATGGGTTTGGCTGACCAGGACTGGTTGATAATGGAAGTAAGATTTTAGCAAAATGAATCTTTGACAGCTTATCCAAATTGTAACTGAAAAAAGACATTGTTTTAATGATGGAATTTCGGTCCTTTTACATACCTGAGTTTGGAAAAGTCATTACAGCAATTAGCACCTGACTCCTTGGTGCGGTATTGAAAGTACTGTATATGTTTCCAACATATGTAGATCAAGAAAATGCTGCAGCTCATATGGTTTTCTCAACACAGAAGTTTTTATCCTGGATGTATCTATACTGATAGTGGTTTGATCATAAGCATTCAGAAATTTAAAGATACTGAACTTTTAATATCATGGTCTTTGCATTGGTTTACTATGGGAGCTGTAGAAGTCTAATGAACTCCATTTCAAACTGAGTTATGGCCCTTGGAGTTCTTAATATCTTCACATGGGCTGTTGCTTGTTAGGTGGCTCTCTAAAGTTTTGTATTTTGCATAGGGTTAGAATTTTAAAGAATAAAGTATTTCCCCAGACTTTCTCACTAGTTATACTGGTTATTTAAAAAAGACCTTGTATAGCTTACATATTGTTCAAAGAATCCCTTTATTCTGTGGGTGTGATTGATGAGTGTAATATGGGTTTTAGAGTATACAGCTAGGCCTTACTCCAGATCTGCACATTTCAAAAGAGTGCTAGCTCCACTTGGTCATTTTCACTTTCTAAACTTCAGTGGTAAATTATAAAAAAGAACGGACAATTTTGTTTACATATGATATATTTGGTAATTCTTTCATTACTCTTTCAGAAGCTGGTATTGTCTAGTCTGGCAAAATTCATATTCCTTATTTTAATAGCTGCTAATGATAGTGTACTTAAGACAAATTCAGGCTGATATTTGGAGCAGAAGGAAGCAGTCATTTTAGTTAGCAGTGTGCTAAGATCATTTACAATTTCCAAAAGTACAATATACATGTAAAAAAAATGTCAGCCACATTACATCAAAGGAGCATAGAGGTAAACTAACATTCTCTCCACTGTGCATGTTTTAAATGCAAACAATTTCACCTTACATACATCACTCCCTCAAAAGTACATAATAACTGGTGAGCGCCTCCTTAACAGTATAGTTCTCCCATCCTTTTATGTATAACTAGATGCCACTGGGTAGGGTGGGTGAATTGTGTATTACAAGTGGATATGTCTTGTAAAAGTCCAATTTTAATCAAGTCATTGCCCTTTATTGTCTATATTGATCAATACTGCATACCCTCTACAGCAGATCCTTGTAACCAGAATATCTCATAAACTATTCCACATATTCAGATGAAATTTGGTGTATGCACCGCCTCACTGTCCTAGATGTACTTTAAATGAATTGTGGGTTTATGGGTTTAATGCCATTTTTCAGCACTTTATAGACTATACATGGCCACCACTATATCAGTGGAGAAAGAATCCAGGAAAATCCTGGGAAGAATCATCAACCCACAGAAAATTAGAGGGAATTCTCCCACACAAAATTGGCAGAGCTTGATACTCAAACACAGACGGAGGTGAGACTCATCCACCTGAGGCCTCATCTTTAAATGGTTCTGTCCCATCGGCTCCATTTTATGTAAAGCTATGGCACTTTATAATTAACATCTTCACTCTTCGTGTTGCTTGTAACTCGAACTGCTCAACAAGCTTTCAACAGTCTTAGGTAATCTGGTATAAATCATGTCTGGTGGATATAAACGTGCCTTTTAAGGGTTTAATCCATTTGAAAAGAGTTATGGCCCCCTTTTCAATCTTTTGCCAGACATTGGTTTCCACATGATAATTTAACCAAGAGCTATTGAATTCAAAAAACTTAATAGTTTGATTTCCAGCATTCTCTAATATCATTTACATGAGTTATTCCCCTTGATTGCCATTCATTTTGATTTTTATGTCCACATCATAGCTAAGCTTTATGGTGCATTTCAGCCCATTTTGGAATTCTGCTTTATGCTGCTGAGACCTTAAATTAATTTTATTTCTATCATTCCACAACATCATTTACAGGAGTTATGGTCCCTGAATAGTATTTTATTATGGATACAACAGGGTGGGTGTGTATTTGTTTTAATACAAACTTTTGATCACCTACCAACATA